ATTAACAAAAATTATTTTTAAAATATAATTGCAAATATATTAAATATAAGTATATTAATGTTTTTTTTTTGTAAATATATATACAAAAATATTATATTTAATTTATATAAATAACTTTTAAAATAGTTACTAATTAATATATATACATACATACATATATACATTGTCAAGTGACTATAATCTACCAATAAGAAAACACTATCAGAATTTAAAAGAAGTGACGTCACTTTAATCAATAATTTCTTATTAATTTTAAAATTTAATATTATTGCACCGTGAAAAATTGTCTATATATTATCACGTTAGGCGGTAAACGAAATTAAAAAAGTTTCGTACAATAATAGACGAAGAACAATAACTATAAGCAAATATATTATTTAAGTTTTGAGAAAAAATGATCCTAACTAATATATATGACTTGTAAACCCTTTGTAATGATTAAAATAGCGTCGATTAAGTCGAAAGCGAAAACTTATATTAAACATATTCGAATAATATATGATTGGTTCTTTTTTCGGTCACCACGCGTCGCCATCATAAAATCGTAGCGCATGTCAGATGTTCGATTTCCTCGTTGTTTCGCCCCCCGAAACAAAGCATAGTATCTAAAACGGCCATATTAACTTGCTATATTTCGTTTTAAAACGAATCGATTGATCTTTTCTCGTAACGTTCACAAATTGGTTCCGTCTTAATTTCTCATCTGCTTTGAAACAATCGTTACTGGATAATCATTGGTTAGTCAGATCACGTGAATTTCTGTCAGCCATCTTGAAAAATGGAGAACTGAGGTAAGCAATGATTGTGGTCTATTAAAACATATGTAATATATACTTTTTCATGTAATATTTACGTACTGCAAGTTGGAAGTTAGATAATGACTGTCATTTAACTCTGTAAATGTGAAGGCTTCGGGAATAGGCCAGTGTTGATGTATAGTAAAGGTAGCCATATTAGATCTATGGCTGCCATTATAACATAAAAAGTGTGTAAATTTCAAAAAGATTTTTTTGAATAATTTTCATAATTTACAACATAATTTTTGTAGTAAATTCATTTCTTATGAATTATTTTAACTTATAAATATGTAAAAATGTATGTAAATATTATTAATATTTAAAATTTTTCAATGTATGCATAAGTTGGTATTTATGGACATACATGTAAATTTAGCTCCTCCATTCTTTGAAGTGGGAATGAATTTAATGTCTTTACAAGGTTTTGTTTTGATATTGATGATTGGTTTTTTTAAATAGTTAACATAATTTTTATGTATGTTTTAAGAAAAATATGTCATTATTGTGGTTTCAGTGGAATTTCCAAAATTACCAGATGACAAGATACTTACCCACCAGTGCCCAAGTGGTTCTGTTCCCTGAACACTGAGTTTGCACCTCGCCATGACGTGGAGTTTTCCTGGTTTTCTCCACATCCATAATGTCTGATTGAAGGGCAAGTTCCCCTTAAAAAGATCTCCTGGAAGGCATTCCTCCTAGGCAGATTGCCCAAGTTTTGCATGAATTTAACTTAACAGACAATCTACTTATAACTTGGAAATATTTATTTGCATAAATTACATGTTTAGTTAAAATGCCTGTTTTTGTTTTTTATATAAAAAACAAGCTCTAAAACCAGAATTTTTTCAGAAACATATTATGCAAGTGGATACCTCAACCATTATTAATATATATGAGTTGAAGTCCTAAAATATGCAAATATATTTGGCCATAGTTGAGATTTGGTTTAAGTATGTGCAATTTTTGGGCATATAAAAAGGAGGATTTATTTGACTATATATTATGTTATTCTGTATATATTCTGTAGTGCAAGTGGATTTTTAAATAACTTGGCATATGCCAATTATTTTCAAAGTGCATACGTTGTAATCCGATTTTGAAGATTTTGGATTTATTACATAATTCCTTATTTTGACCATACTTGCATTGTTACATGTATCAAAAATAATGAATTAAAATTATATAGACCTACATCTTATAAATATTTTGTTTATGCATTGCAGTTGCAATTTATTTATGTTTTTTTTATTGTAAAATAAAATTGCCCTTAGTAAAATTTTGTTTATCTAATCTTTTAAATTAAATCCAATTGAAAAATTTTGTATTTATGAAATTAATCCTTTTTAACAGTATTTTAAATTTTGATATTAACAGTAGTTTATGATCAGTGCTAACTCTGTATTATATTTGAATAATTTTTGTATTTTTGATTATTTTTTTCAATCATTGCTCTATTTTGATATACAACATACAAGGTGATTCTAAATCATTGTTAGAGTTTCTGTGTCTTATAATTTTCTAACTAGGAAAAACATACTAAAATTGTTTGCAAAATATGAAAGTGTAACTCAAAAAATTTCATTTGGCATATTTAGAAGTTTTGGAGTCCTTTTTCTTCATGAGAAAACAGTGACAGTGGTGACCTATTTCTTTGTGCTACACTTAAATCTATTACTTCATATGGTGATCCAGTGAGATGGCTCGTAGTCACATTTTCCAAGAATTTCTTGACATTTTCTTAGGTGCTGGATTGAGCGTGGACCAATTCCTTATATTTTCTGTGCTCAACTGATATTATGACACTTGATTTCTTCTTATGGGAATATGTGAAAGATGTTTACACAGCACCTATGACTTTCCTCAATAAATTGAAGCTCAGAATTATTGCTGCAATAGACACAGTTACATTGCAAATGCTAGAAAACACTTGAGGGAAATTGATTGTTGTTTGTAAATTGTATGTTCCATGAAAGGTGCACATGTTGAGGTTTTTTAGCACTTTACACTATTGATTCTATATGTCATAAACTTATTGAGTTACACTTTCATATTCTACAAGTAGTTTTATTTTGTTGTTTCCAGTTGGAAAATTATAGAATATAGAAACCCTGATAATAATTTAGAATTGTTCTGTATATCACATGCTAAGAGTATTTTAATGTCATCCATAATCTTTCCTCAATATCTATTTTCTCTGATTTCTTTATATAATGATAATACTCAGATAATTATTTATCAATGTCTGTTCTGAATTAATGGTTCCTTATTTTGCTTTTTCATTTAACTGAATATTTTATAAAATAAAAATTAAATTAATGTATTAGCATACTTAGATGTGTAATTTCAGTTTTATTTAAATTACAATAAATTATGTTTGTATGATGTTACAACAATTTTAAAATAAACATTACAAAATAATTTAATTCCATACAATATACGTAAATTTAACACAATGTTTATAATGAGTAATTCATTATAAAATTATTCTCTATCTGTAATATATAATTTATAAGAGACATTTATTGATTACAATGGAATATTTAGTTACTTTTTGTTGGCAGAAAGAATGAACATAATTGATTCTGTTATTTTTAATGTAGATGTATACTTCAATGCATTCAAAGCTAATTAATTATTATTATTTGACTTGGATTAGGTTTTATATGTTAATGTAGGTTTTGAGTAATGGTTGAAATGAAAATTAATGCAATTTTTCCTTGCAAATTTTAATTTCAGGAATTAATGTAGAGTAGAGCCTTGAAAACTCGGCACTCGATAACCCAGCACCCCGGATAACTTGGTCACACCCTGGCAGGGCAAAAATACCCTTAGATAATTAATTTTCATCATAGACAGCTTTATTCCTCATAGTATTTTTCTGAGGTCTGTCTTATCAGGTAAATTACTGTACACAGTGTATTCATTAATTTTCATTTTCATGTAGTAAAGGCTCTATGCCTTCATAAAGGACGTACTTTTCCTTTGTTTAAGGGTATTTGGGCAGTTTATTCTCTGTTGTATTCTCAAGCAAACAATACATACAAGTACAGTACAATATTTTCTGAGGAAACACGCATACTTATCCTTTTTTAACCCCATTCCCGATAACCTGGCATTTTCACAAACTCGGCCACCCTTCGGTCCACATTAGGCCGAGTTTTCAAGGCTCTACTGTAATATATTTCTATAATTAACTTTTCCTATTGGGTAATATGATTATATTATCATCAATAAATAATATAATTTCCACACTAATACTGTTTTCAAATAAAATAAAATTCCTTTATTCAAAACACACAATTATGTAAATTTATTTGCTAATGCTTGATGGCTTAATGTTCTCTCAATTAGTTGTATATCCTTCGGAATTAGCACAAAGTTGCTGTTGAGAACAAATCACAAAGGAACGTTCAAAAATCACATAAAAAATGGAGCGTTCCTGTGTGATTTTTTCTAATTCCAAAGGACATACAATTCTTTGCTAATATTTTCAGTCCAGTTATGTTGTCCTTCTCTAGAATAGATGTTCTTAACTAATTGTTAGTGATCCCTGGGTGGTCAATTAATATATCTGGACATCAGTAAATTACTTGGGTTCATTTTGGAGTTAGTAGATAAATTACTTTTTATATTATTTGTGCATATTTGTAAATTTTAGTAAAATAAAACACAGTTTAAAATTTTGATTTTATTTTTAATACAAAATAATTATTATTAATTAGTATTTGATTGTTTTTATTTTGTTTTACTCATAATTTATTTTCTTTTGCATACCACTATAGAAGTTGATCAGCAATTAAATCTAATTTTGGAGTCAGCATGTTAATAAGGTTGGGAACCTCCTGCTCCAGACGATATGAGATTTAGATGTTACATATTTTATAAATGAAAAAATTAATGTGGGATGGAATAACAGTAAAAACTAATAATCTACCAACGAATTACTAATGATTCAGATCGTTTAAACAATGGTGATTTATATTTTACAAAGATTTTTCTTTATGGAATTATTGCAATAATTATTATTATATATATTCAGAGAATTGTAGAATGTAAAAAGTTTATATTGAAGACAAAATATACATTCTTACAGTTTATAATCATTAAAAATAATACATCAAAATATGTAAATAGTAAATGCATCCCAGTTTATTAATATGGAAACTGTTGCAAATGTTAGGAAATTTTATATTTTCGACTTGTTTTTCAAGTTAAAAAGTGAAATTTTACAAAATAAGAAGTAAAAATAACTGTTATTTAAATTGTATTAAACATTAAGGTAATGTTCAAATTGGCATCATCATATTAATAAAATAAAGTAAAATTGCTTTTTTAAGTAGCCAAACTTTTAGAAAAGTTTTCTACCTATCTTAGCAGCTTATATTAAATGTAAGCTTAGCTGAAGCTGTATTACAATATGTAAATTAGCATTACATATTAGGCTATATTAGCTGAAGATCTTTCTAGTCAAATAGTTTGGCTACATAAAGAAGCAGTATTATATTTTATTTTGTTACTACCAATATAATAAAAATCATTTAACCTATTAGAGATATTCAATAAATTATTTATTTACTACTAGTTCAGTTAGACTAACCACTGCGGCAAGTTATGGCTCCTTCCAAAACAATTTACTCAAAGTTACAATACTTCTGTTTAAGAAAGACTATATAGAATGTCAGGAGGTATGAATTTCCCCTTATGCATGTACTGATTTGCATAGAGAATATTTATTTACATTCCTCTAATAAATTATTAATAACATTGTTTACAAATATGAATAATAAACAATTTTATTAATAATTTACTGGAAAATGTAAATAAAAATCTAACATTAAAAGATGATATATTAGAAACAGTTTATTTTTATTAAATGTGAGTTGTGCAAAATACTTTAATGTAATTAATTAAATTGTAGTGAGTACAAAGTTTATTATAGTATTATGAGTAACTGTAATATCTTTTGGTATATTAAAGTGATGATGGTGAACATATGTGGCATATGTATTGAGTAATTCAAGCCATAGCACACTAAAGGATATCAGTATCAAATAGAAAACTGTATTATTTTTTTTATTTGTTACTAAGCAAAGAAAGTTTAAAGTATTATCATTTTATAATAATTACAGCTTTACTAAGGACATTTTTACATAAAAATAGTTATATTTATGGAAGAGATAAGTCTGAATTGTGGAATTAAAATTTAAGTTAAAATATTTAAATTTATGTAACAATTTTTGAAGAACTGATAAATATTTGGTGTATTTTTACATGCTTAAACTCCAATAAAGAATGAATAGTATTTTTAAAATTATCAAGTTTATATTTTATGAGTTATATAAAAAATCTTTATTATTATATTCAAATATAATTTACATATAACAAGTATGGTATTTAGATATATTTATTAGATTGATTGGGTAACAGTTTTGGAAAACACAGATGTTTTCTCCCAGTTAAGGCCATTTTCAGGCGTAAGATGAATGTTACAGAATGCTAGTATGCAGAATGCAGAACAGAAGAGGAATGCTAGTGTATTAGAAAAATGGAATAGGCTAGGGATGGGAAACGTTTTTTTATCACAGAATGCCACTTGCTATTTTAGTGATATGTCACAAGGTTAAATATTTTATTGCAGGTGGAAAATCTTATTATAAGCTTTTATACAAAAAATACACATATTTAGGGAATCATTTAGGAGTTTATGAAAACTAATACAATAACAGTGCCTAGTAAGTACTAAATTCCTTTAAAAAATGCAATGACCATATCAGTACATGTTTTAATTAAATAATAATAGTAATACAGTAATATAATAAATTTAAAACATAATGAAAATTTACTAATGATTGTTTTATGACTGCATATTATGTAATGAAAACTAGAATCAAACAGGGTAATCTTCTAGCAGCAAGGCATTAATCAATATAAATTAAACTCATTCATCTTATGTGGCCTTGCATTTAATTGTGAAAACTGTTACAAATGTTTTCAGTCCACAATGTGGACTTTCCTTAGGTGGATTTCCATAAAAACTTCAAAATATGTTTGAATTTGAATACATCAGAATATTATATACATTCCAAGCTAGAATGCTAGCACTGGAGAGATTCGTTTTTTTAGGAAAATTTACCTGAGGAAGAACCAAGGTCTGGACTGAAAATGTTTGTAGCAGTTTATGCAATTAAATGCAAAGTCCACATAAGGTTAGTGAGTTTTATTTATAGGATCAAGCATAATTGTATGTAGCTGAAGTTGGTCCTTTAGATGAATGTCAGTCATCTGAATTCTCAATGGAGTTTTAATATGTGTAAGATATGAAAATGTAAATTTACAACAGTAAGAAGTTGAAAACAGGAAAGCATTCAATGAATATGTTTACATAAATGTGGACACAGTTGTATTTTCCATATCTTAAGAGGATGTTTCTTGGCATCAAAAAGAGACTTTAGAATGATGTCTTCAGAGAACTCAACCAATTCTATCTGTTTATCAGGTGTCTTAGAGACATCAACTAGATGAGATTAAATTACTAATTTCAGCATTTCTCAAAATCAGCAAACCTGTCATGGCATTCTTCAATTAATAAATCTAAAATAGCAGTGTATTCTTTAATTGTTTTAACCTTATACTTTTGTTTACTGATTTCAGTGATACCCCGAACTTATGCAATAGGTGGGCCGAGTGATAACCATGTAAGTCGGGGTATAATTTCGCAATTTGTGTAAAACCCAAGTCAGATGTATGTAAGCTAATAAATGTTCTCGTTAATCTTTTGATTTGTTCACGGTTAGAAGAAATCACCACATAGAGTCTCTCAAGTCTCCGTAGATATAACAAACACAGAAATAAATAACACAAAATAAATTGTGGCTATGTGTCGATTTTGCGTGACACGTCTGAACATGTAAGCCGAACAATAGTGTGGGGGGATTGAGTAATCAAGAGTTGCTTGGCACTCAAACAAAAGACAAATCAAGATTTGAAAATCGCGTAACTCGGGGTTCACGTAAGTCAGGGTAGCGTAAGTCAAGGTATTACTGTATGTGTCAGTAGAGGAAAATGATCCAAAGAAAGTTTTGATTGAGTAAGGAGAATCTTCAGAAAAGTTTTTTTCAAAATGCTATAACTTTTTGCTGTATTTCATGTATAGATTTAGTTAAATTGAATTTGAATTTATTTGACATTAAATTAAATTTGCATCAAGGAACAAAGAGGAAAAAAACTATCATAAATAGTGTAAATCTCCTAATACATTAGTAAATTTAAATAAATCCTAAAAATTAGATTTTTTGTATAATATATTTAAATATTCAACATACATATTATCACTTTCCTATTCACACTCAGATTCTTTATAAAGTCAACACACCTTAATACTGAGAAAGCACATTTATTCAGCTAAACAAACATTTTTAACCCATTCCATGGGCCATCATCAGGTTAAAGACGTTCGAATCAATGGCTTTTCGAATAACACGTTCAAATTTAAATTATATTAGAACATATGCAGTACATTGAAATCAAATTAAGTAAACAAGCATAATGAAATTAATACAATAAATAAGGAAAATAAAATAAAATACAAAATATGGTAATTCACCACAATACAATATGTAAAAAATTTTTTATAGTAACTCAGGTTTTTATTGAGCCTGGTGGATGTATCATCTTATGAGTTCTTTCTGATTATATATTTCCATGCTGATGGTAAAATGGTCGCATCCTTATAGTTTAAACATTTTTCCGTTAAGCTAGTTCTGTAGATCTGACACTTCTCTGTTGTGGATGCAAGTGTTGGTGAGTGCGCATTTGTAATGATTCTGGTCTCTTCCCATTTAACATCAGTCTGCACTATTTTTGATAACGCTGTTGTATATGTTGTATATACAAACAGCTATGTCGTACTTATGCTCTTTCACCCTTACATTAACATTTCTATTTGTGACTCTTATATATTCTTTGTCTATTCCCAATTGGTCGTTCTTGTACGGTATTGTGTATACTCCTGGAGCCGTATTCTGGTCACTGTCTCTGGTCTCTTGTCTCTTACAAGCCGGTCGCTGATTGGCTAATCATTTGGATTAGCCAATCAGTGACCAGCTTATGAGAGACGAGAGACCAGAGACAATGACCAGAATATGGCCCCTGGTTGTTCTCATGAATTTTTTCTTTGTCATTTCTGAGCAACGTATATAAGGTGGGAGCTCTTTTGTACAATATTAGTGTTTTTGTAGTTTACGATATCTTTCAAGGGGGACCTTGGTCCCCCTTGAATCTATTCCCGGTTATGAAAGAAATCTATTCCCAGTTATGAAACAAATCGTGAGAATAGATGCTGTTCAATACAGATTCAAGGGAGACCAAGGTCTCCCTTGAATCTGTATTGAACAGCATCTATTCTCAAAATCCTAGATATGTCATTGTATTTATCTACTGTTTATGAATTAATAATGAAATCTGTGAAGGTTAAATTACTAAGTTGTCTGAGTCTCCACAGTTAATTATATTAGCTGCTAAGCTTCTCTCATAAATTCACATAGACTCAGCAGTGAGGTGGTTGGTTCCTGATCAATAACACTTGAGCATCTCTACTTTATCTCATACAGCATTTAAGTCTGTCCAAGTGTTTGCAGCATAGTGTTGTTGTCCCTGCCCATTCATATCACCCTTTGATATTTTGAAATTGTTTTTTAATATTATCCTAATATTTTCTGAAGTTCATCCGAGACTGCATATTACTCAATATATTCTGAAGAGGAACATCTTTTCTGTTCTGGGTTGGAATTCTGCAGATTCTGCTCATATTCAAGAGTTTTCTTCTCTTTATTCTGTAAAAATAGGGTGTTAAAAATAGAGGCTTTCTATTTCCCTGTGCTCTATGCCATTACATTTTTTTGTGGTTCTTTGTAGTAATATTACAGGTAAGTTTTTGAACAAAAGGTAAATTTCAGGTTTGGGTTTTTGGTGG